GAGAGAGAGCGAGAGAGAGAGAGAGAGAGAGAGAGAGAGAGAGAGAGAGAGAGAGAGAGAGAGAGAGAGGACGGCTCGACGCACCCCCAGCACCGCCGCCACCGCCCTCGCCAGCCCCGTCCACCCGTACGCGCTCGCGAGCTCGACGGCAAACAGGCCCCCATCAGGCCCGGGCGCGCGCACCGAGTAGTACGTCGCCGCGATGCCGAACCCTGCGTGCCGGGGCGTGGCCGGTCAGTCGGTCCGTGCGCTCCGAGGCCTCGGGCGGGAGGGCGCTGACGAGACGGGGAGAGAGGGACAGAGAGGGAGCGCGATACGTACCGAGTTGCGCACAGCTGAGGAGCGCGACCGACCCGACGAGTGCGGCTCGCCGTCGACCGCTGTACAGCGTCGAGAGCCTCGCGGCGGCGAAGAAGGCTTGTGCGACCTGGTCGAGGGAGGAGAGGAGAGGCTCAGCTTGGGCGCTCGGCGGGCGGGTGGGAGGGTGGGCGAGGGGAAGGGAGGGTGAGGGAGAGGGGGTGGGAGAGAGCTGAGAGAGAGAGAAACGGGGGCGCACGGTCGAGAGGGTGACGAGGATGGCGAGGTGTGCCGTGAGGACCCTGTGCGAGACGACGAGGAAGCAGTCAGCGCCAGTTCTCGACGAGGAGGAAGATTGGGGCAAGAGCAAGGGCCCGGGGGGTCGACGCACCAACCCGGTGTCACCTCGTCGCCCACCCACCCGGCGTCGACTCGGACGTACCCGTACGTCGCGTAGCACCACACGCCCGTGTGCGCGCTCGACAGCGCCGTGAAGAAGATGACCTGCGTGTCCGGGTCAGGGGCCGGTCAGGGTCCTCGTCGGCAGAGGAGAGGAAGGGAGGAGGAATCGCGCACTCACCACCGCCCTCGCCCCGCCCGAATCCCCCGTCCGCCTGAGGTAGCCCGCCGCAAAGTGCGTGGCGCTCGACGAGAGCCACACGGCGACGACGAGGCCGACGAGGAGCGTGCCGGCGGAGGCGGCGGTCGCGGCGGTGGTGGTGGGCGGCATGGGTGCGGCGGCGGCGGGTGCGGGTGCGGCAGGTCGTGAGTGAGTCGGGCGTGTGCACGGGGGAGAGCAGCAGGAGCTGGTAGGGGCGCTATGAGCTGGCGCAGCCCGTCCGTCCCGGGGGAGCGAGGGACGACCGAGCGACCGACCGACTCGGAGGAGCAGATGAAGGGAGGCTCCGGGGGCGGGCGCGTGCGGTGGAGGGAGCGAGCGAGCGGCGCGCTGCGGAGCATGCTGCTGCAGCTAGTGCCGCCAGCGCAGACAGGGCGAGGGTGCCCACGAGCTCGAGCGACCTGGCGAGGTGAGAGCGCGACTCGGAGCGAGAGCTCTCCTCCGAGTCGCGCGAGGAGGCGCAGCGCGCGCGCGCTCGCAAGGCCGGGCTGCTACGACGTTTGTACTCGTCGCATAGCGCTCGCTTGCTAAGTAGCCCAGGCGCGACTCGAACGTTGAACGAGCCCGCTCTCTCTCTGCGACCCTCTCGCACGCGCGACCGTCGGCTCAGCGCTCTCTCGTCCCGCCCGCCACGCGCCCCGTGGTCAGGCACCGACGACGTCTTACCGCCGCTACTGCTCGTCTCCCCCTCGCCGTCCCCTCCTCCCCGCCGCCGCCGCCGGCGCCGCCGCCGTCGCGCGCTCGAGCCTGCGCCGCTCGCGCTCGCGCGCCGCCTCGCGGGCTTGGTGCTGCAGCTCGGGCGGGACGACGAGCTGCGGGGGGCGCGGGCGCGGGCACGGGGTGGTCAGTCGCAGTCACGGCGGCGTGGTCGGGCGCACGAGAGAGAGAGAGAGAGAGAGAGAGAGGGAGAGAGAGGGACGCACCGCGTTGCGCGCCTGCTCCCGGGCCTCCTTGGCCCTCGCCTCGCCCAACCACCTGCTCCACTCAGTGCCCCACCCTTCCCTGCTGCTCCCTGCTGCTGTTCCCGCTTCGCGCCGCACCCCGACCCCGACGACGAGGCGCCTCAGAAACTCGTCCTCGTCCCTCGCGAGCGCGACGAGCTCCCTTGCGCGCTCGACGACGTCGTACCGGTTCTGGCTCGCGCGCCTGCGGCGGTGGATCGTCATGCTCGTGCCGAGGGGCTGCGGGCGGAGGCGCGGGAGAGGAGGGTGGAAGGGGGTTGAGAGGAGGATCGAGGGGGAGAGGAAGGGCGTGCGGTGGGCGGCCTTCAGGGGGAGGAGGAGGACGATGAGGGAGCGGGAGGTGCGGGGTGGGGCGCAGAGGAGGTGGGACGCAGACCCCGCAGGCGGTCGAG